CCGCTTCGCCTCCTTCGAGGCGCAGGGGGCGCTGCAGAACCTGGCCATCGACAAACAGAACCTCGACAGCTCCATGGCCGCCAACAACAACTCCCAAACAGCCATCGGTAATGTCGCGATAGTGAGGTTTATATCACGATAGTGGGGTGTTTATGTCGCGATATCGTCGTTTATATCGTGATATCGTGGTTTATATCGTGATATAGTGGTTTATATTGTGATATTGGGGTTTATATCGCGATATTGAAGGGTTTATATCGTGATAGTGAGGGGTTTGTATCGCGATATCAGGATTTATATCGCGATAGTGAGAGGGGAGACCGGTCCCGGATTCTCATTGGTTCTATCGCAATAGCGGGTGGAATATCATGGTTTCTATCGCGATAGTGAGAGGGAGAGCGGTCCTCAATTCTCATTGGTTCTGTCGCGATAGTAGGTGAAAAATCAGCGATTCTGTCGCGATAGTGAGGTGGTAGATGTCAGGGTTTCTATCGCGATAGTGGGGTTTATATCTCGATAGTGAGGGGTTTATATCGCGATAGTCGGGTCCCAAATTCTCATTGGTTCTGTCGCGATAGTGGCTGGAATATCGTGGTCTCTATCGCGATAGTGAGGAGTTAGAGGGGTCCTGGATTCTCATTGGTTCTATCGCGATAGTGGGTGGATTATCAGGGTTTCTATCGCGATAGTGGGTGGAATATCATGGTTTATATCGCGATAGTGGGTGGGGGAAAGCATCCTGGATTCTCATTGGTTCTGTCACGATAGTAGGTGAAAAATCGGCGTTTCTATCGCGATAGTGGGTGGAGTATCGTGGTCTCTATCGCGATAGTGAGGGGATATCGGGGTTTCTATTGCAATAGTGGCTGAAATATCGGTGTTTCTATCGCGATAGTGAGAGGGGAGAGTGGTCCCGGATTCTCATTGGTTCTATCGCGATAGTGAGGAGGTGGAGGGAGGAGTTTCTGTCGCGATAGTGGAGTGGAAACGGTCCTGGATTCTCATTGGTTCTGTCGCGATAGTGGGTGTAATATCGGTGTTTCTATCGCGATAGTGAGGGGTATATCAGGGGTCTCTATCGCGATAGTGAGGGGTTTATATCGCGATAGTCGGGTCCCAAATTCTCATTGGTTCTATCATGATAGTGGGTGAAATATCGGGGTTTCTATCGCGATAGTGAGGGGGGGAGGGAGAGGGGAAAAGGCGTTTTTGACCGAATTTCAGGCTTTTTCGACCCAAATTTCAGGTTTTTTTAACTCAATTCCATCAGAATCTTTCCCGATTCCAGACGGATTCACCCCAAATCCCGACCCCAAATCCGAACACAGCCCACCCCATTTTGGGTCAATTCCACCCCATTTTGGGTCAATCCAAGCCAATCCAATTTTGGGTCAATTCCATTGAATTTTGGGTCAATTCCTTCCCATTTTGGGTCGATCCAATTCAATCAAATTTTGGGTCAACGCAAGTCAATTTTGCATCAATTTCATTGAATTTTGGGTCAATTCCATCCAATTTTGGGTCAATTCCTTCGAATTTTGGGTCAATTCCATCAAATTTTGGGTCAATTCCATCCCATTTTGGGTCAATTCCATTGCATTTTGGGTCAATTCCATCCAATTTTGGGTCAATTCCATTGAATTTTGGGTCAATTCCATCCAATTTTGGGTCAATCCAACCCAAATTTTGGGTCAATTCCATTGAATTTTGGGTCAGTTCCACCGAATTTTGGGTCAATCCAACCCAATCCAATTTTGGCTCAATTCCATCCAATTTTGGGTCAATTCCATCCAAATTTTGGGTCAATCCACATCAATTTTGGGTCGATTCCATCCCATTTTGGGTCAATTCCATTGAATTTTGGGTCAATTCCATCGAATTTTTGGTCGATCCATCGCAATCAAATTTTGGGTCAATTCCATTGAATTTTGGGTCAATTCCATTGAATTTTGGGTAGATCCACCCCAATTCCAGTGCGATTTTTCCCAATTTATGGGGGTTTTTTTTTCCCAATTCCAATGGGATTTTTCCATGGGGTTTTGACCCAAATTCAATGGGATTTTGACCCAATTCCAATGGGATTTCTCACAATTTTGCGCCATTTTAACCCATTTTTATGGGTTTTTTTCCCATTTTCATGAGGTTTTCACCAAATTTAATGGGATTTTCACCAATTTTCATGGGATTTTTACCCAATTTTTTATCATTTCCAGTTTCCCCCGAGACGGTGGTGTTCCCGAAGCGCCCGGCCGAGCGCGATGACCCCAACATCCTGATCTGCCTCGTGCACAAATTTTGGCCGCC